GCCCCACGTTTGTACGCTAAGGACAAAGGGTCGGCTGAATCTCTCAGAAAGCAGACAGAGGCAGCGTTAGGAATATGACCTTTACTGACCGCGCTCAAGCTCGACTGCCCGGCGGCCGTTTTCACGTGCCAGCGTGAGCTTGTGCGCTAGAGCACCAAAAACCGGGTAATACTCACAAGCTATGACAAGCTAATTTAAACAAAAGCAGATGTGCTCAAAGAAGTCTGGGACGTTTCTCTGCTATAAAAAAAATACCACATCCAATGAACACAATTTCACTCATCACAACAAAATTCCCGTGCTTGGTAAAGCTGCACTGCAAGTGCTCACCATCCTTTACCATTTATTATATTAAGGAGGCCATTGAACATAAGTGCAAGGCTAATGCAATTGAGTGCAGCCTTGTGAGCTTTGGCGCATATTTTTGTAAACTTGTATGAAGCAAACACAGTTAAGACAAAACAATTCTGGGTGTAGTTTGTAAACTGCCTCACAAGGCACAACTAAATGTCGGAAAGCCTATTATTGCCCCTCACTGCGGGGGTGTTCATCTTGTAATGCAATTAATAATTTCTGATGATTTACATGCCAACCATGATATGATTATGATTCATACAGTACTGGGCAAATTTAGATTGTTTCTGGCTGCCAGGGGTTAAAACAAATAACATTGTAGCAGCATACAAAACTGCTTGTCGAAATATTTGCTCTGACACCTTATTTTCAAGGATTTTTCACATTTTCAAGCTTCCATCTTTTAAGGGCCCGTTCGATTCACCTGCACCAATGGGAACCAGTTCACGGCTGTGCACGAGAAGTTCAGAAGTTATGCAGCACGAGTTCAGCAGTGTAGGCGCAGTGTGACATCACAAGCGAATGACAAGGTGCGGACAAGGTGGAAGCCTTATTTCTGTTTGCTTAATTTAATTAGGTGAAAACACTTTGGCTTAACATGCCACGTTAGTAGAGGCGGGTACAGCACTTACGTCTAATGCTGTGTTGTTTGTTAAGCTGCAAGTGCAGCTGCACCAAACGTTGCCGTCAGTGTACAAGGTGCAGGAAAATCGAACTAGTTTTAGTGCTCTACCTGTCCTGCACCTTTTGAAGGAATGGTCCAGTTCAGGGGCTGGCGTTGCTGCACCACTGAAACGAATGGCGAGATAGAGCAGCTCGTAAAATAGATCATGTGGTGCCGACGAATTGAACCAAGCCTTAAGCACCCAAGCGTCATTGCATTTCCCCCTAAAAAAAATGTGGCCGTTGTGGCTGGGATGATCAAACCTGTGTTGTTAAGCTCAGCAGTGCCACAAAATGTAACTCATGTACAAAGGTAGCGTTTCAGTTTCGACATTATTGAAGTCTAGATTCCATACCACAGCAAACAGTCAATGCTTGTGGCCAATCAAAAGCACCCCTTCACGAGATGTGTAGTAAAACGTGCACAAATACAGCATTTCAAGCGTGAGGTTCGAGATGACCTATTGTAGTGGACGTTCAGATGTTTCAATGTGCTTGCAGGGTGAACATTCATGGGTAGTCATCCTGTCATTGCATAGCAGTCTGGAAAAACAAGTAACATTACCAGATATTGATAAGCATAATCAATGCATAAAATTTTCCGAAGTAAACAAATAAACTCAGTTAACTAGTAAACAGCAGTATGTTATACATATATGTAATTTTATCTCATAACACATGCATGACTCGGGGCTGCCTCTTTACAAGACATGTCATGTAGCGGGTACCTTGCCCATTGTACACAGCTGCTTCCATGTCAGGTTTGCCAGGAGGCTGTGGCAGAAAAAGAAGTATTTCTGAATCATGTGACCCTTTCTTTGTCACACTATAGTGAAACCACACCCATATTTATGTGATCCTGCTCAAGTGCAACTGCGGTAAACTATAGACACGTGGGTGTCTTGCACTAATATATGGGCTAGCTACGAAGACACATGCGAGACAACAGAGATGCATTTGCCTTGTTGGATTGCAATGGCCTGGTATTTGTTACCTGGCAATAAAATTTCAGAAATCACTATCAAGTCTGCGACTCGCTCCCACGTGAAGCCATGCCACAAGTAACACACGGTTTTCCAGTGACAGATTATGACACGTTAAAGGGGAACTTTGTCACTTTTTCAATATTCACCAATTTCAATAAAACCTTGAATGTTCGTTCTTGTTGGTACCAATGTGATATGTGCCAAATTGTACAGTGGTATGTCATGTAGTTTTTTAGAAAACAAATTTTAAAATTGGCAGCCGGTTTAAGAATCATACTTGTAAGCGCGCGCCACCTTGTCTATGTGATGTAAGGGCCTACTCTTATTCAAGAAACTCGCTTTTCCCAGCAGACGGATGCAGCGTGCCTTTTCTTTTACGAGGCAATGATAATGCGAGCAGAGTTCAGATTTGTCAGCTGCATACAGCGTGTAAGTCGTCGTTGACATCGGCTCTTACAATATTGAACAACGAGGAAATCGATACGGGGCATGTCAGCTGCATCACGCGCTCAGATAGTAGCCACGATCATCGCTGAACCTGTCACTGGTAAGTTGAGATGAGCTGGTGCAGCTTGGTCTTGCGTCGGATGACATTGCCAAACTGCTCTTCGCACGTCAGAAGAGGCACGTGAGCTATGTTTACACCTTGGCCAGCTGTGTTGGGGTGTAGTGAATCTCGTGTTACGTCATCCGATACCCACTATGGATGGCGGAGCTGCTCCTTGTTTCGGTTTCTGTTCTGACTTGTCGTTCACTGCTTAGTTAACACTATTTACGAGTATTTGGGCAAAATGAACTACCCTAGCTTTTGCAGGATGGTCAATTCATATTTTAAAGCAGTATTATCTCAGTATAGTCGAAAATACACCAAAGTTCCCCTTTAAAAAATTTAATATTTACAATGTGCCATGCCGTGTGACACCTACGCAATGTCATTGGCAAAAAACTACGTATGTTGAAATGAACCAACAAGCCCAACAAGCAACCATCCTTAAAAACTGAAGTGATTTTTACTCACCAATCTTTATTTCTTGGGCTTCAAAAGCGTGTTCATCCGATGAAAGCTTCAATGGTCGCTTCATTCCCCTGAAGTCACTTGAATGCGCTTCGCGAAAGCATTTGAACGGGTCAAAGTAAACAGAATGAAAGAGAGTGTGTCAGTCAGCAGTTAGCCAACCAGCTTCAAATATTTGCAGTGAAGCAAAAAAGTGCGCGCGAGACCCATACAAACGCACCACGAGTAGTTACCTGCTGACCGTTGACCACCATATATTTTGAAACGAGGATAATGATGTCGATAGGCTGCTGATAACTATGAGTCAACTGGAGCAAAAACTATCACAAAAAAATGATGACCCAGCACATGTCCATGCAGAACTACTTGGCATAAGAGTAATTTTTTTTATGTGCAGCATTACGCAAAGATGTAGTATTCGATCATTTTAGAATTTAAATTTGGCCCCGACGAGGGTGCGCCTACAGGAAACAGCATGGCGGCGCCCATGTGATGCATAACGCGGAGGTCAGTAGATCGACTCCGAGTGTTTGAAATCGGAATGCGCCACAGGTGCATGCACGAATGTGCCCTCCCCCTGCCTCCAAACCAAGAACGAAAAGAAAACTACTTTTGCGTTAGCAGTGCCACACTTTCAGTTAGCGTCACATAGGAGGGGCCATGCTACATATGGAGAGCGCTTTACCGAATTCTTTTTCACAGTATCCTTGCTCTACGAGTATGCACGCCGCCGTTTTCGATGACGTGCACGCATGCATGGCTTTACTGCACGCACATGATGTGGCCCCCGACGACGTTCAGCCTTGCTTTTTTTTTTAAAATGCGGGAAACATGTCACTATCTAGGGCATGCCAGATTAGGCGCTGATGGAAACTCTTCAAGGCCACGGTGACAACGACGGATCTTCGGAGATCGACTTGTCAGGCGCTTTGCCGTCTTGTGCCTCGTCGCGAGTTCGCGGACTGTAGCATTCACGATCAGCCAATCATCTCTGACAACAACACGACGGCGCGTTGAATGCAATGCAATGAATGTGATAGTAACAAATTGTGATGTTATGCGAAGTAAGGCTGGCAGCCAAATCTTTTAAATCCGATACTGCAGAACCCCTACAAAACGCTAAATACACCACAAAACACTATAGGGAGAAGCGCTTTTTTCACGCAATCTCTTCGCGTTGAAAGCGCATTAATGCTTTTCGAGATAGCATGCCCACCAGCGAGTGTGACCGCACCATTAAAATCAAAGTTCACCGTTGCTACTCAAGCAACCCCCCCCCCCCCCACCTTGCATGCTTTTTTATGCTCATTTAAAACGGGTGGTTTCCTTTCTGTTTGAGCGTTTGATGGCAGTTCTAACACATGGGGGATGTTATCGCATGCGCCCTACAGGCGATAGAGATATAGAGATGGGCCGGCTCAGTGGATTTCTACTTCGGCAGTGCTCGCGCGCTTTTACCCACTGGTAAAAGTTGCGAGGGGGCATGTTATCAATTTGGATTTAAGAAACTTGGCACCGACGGCAAGAGCCCGCCGAAAGTGTCCATATCATTGCTATTGTAATAAGGCAGTCTTTTACAGCTAAATAAGTGCTTTATGGTAGCTCTGCCTTCAGTTCCCCTTCTGTTTATTTTTCAAATTTTTGTACCAAACCTGCATATAATGGAATCGCCTCTATAACGATTCTTTCCGGGAATTCGTCAATTTCGTAATAACCAAGTTTAACTGAATCATCAAAATGCTGCATGATACATTGACATGCTTTTGACTACATGATTCAGCTAGCAAGATTACTCTGTAGGAGGTGCGCACAAATGCCCCTTTTGGGCTACCTTGTTCCTTGAAAGAAAGGGACCCCCCCCCAATGCACTGAAAACACCATGTCATTTCTCAAGTATCCTTTCTCAAATCGATCAAAAGTGCCCTTGCTTTACTGTTTAGCTTATCTTTCAGCTTATGTAACTTTTGAGTGAATTAACCCACCAGTTTCCAATGCCACATTCCAAGAGAGCATCCAGGAGCTTCAACTCTTCCGCAGCAGTCCACGTTTTGCACAGCAAGGGGAACTCAGTTGTCTGCAATAAAATGACCACAGAGCTATATACAGTTCAGTCATCATTGATTAAACAAGTTCCTTAGACCTTAAATAAACCACCTAGTTCCCTGGTAATGTCGTGTTTTCCTACCTCGTAACGTTAAACCGCCTTAATTTAAGCTCCATAAAACTAGAAGTCCTAATGAGAAGATTAAATTAAAGCAGAGCTGCATTCTTTGTCCATCTTGAACCCTACAAAAGCATGTTGTTGTACAAAAGCTTGTTGGTTACAATGGCACCAAATAGCCACAGATCAGGGCTGCTTGGATGACAAGATGTGCTGGCCTGCAATGAGCATTGTTTTTGTTGGAGTCTTTATATATGGGACTAGTTAAAATCAATTTAAAATGATAATTTATTTTACAGCGCGACCTTTTATCAAGTCACAATGGCAGTTGATTTCAGTGGCCTAGTTGTCCGTCGCAACTGGCATCGCCATTATCACTGTTTGTTGATGCCCACAAAAAAAATTGAAAAAGAAAACGGGACCCTCTGAGTGGCAGTTGTGCGCTCTGCCACAGGGCTATGCTTGTGCTTGAAGTTTCTTTGCGAAAAGATCCTCTATAAGAGACAAAAATCAAGCGAACGAGTGTAATATTCCATGGCAGATTCCACACAATATGAAGCATGTAATGAGTTGCTCCGTTCCCGAAGGCTCGCATATAATTCATCATAACCTATTTCACAATGGTGTTAAATTGGGCTAGTTGGTTATTCATGATCATATGAAAGTATAAAAGTGCAAAGAACGACAGACAAATGAGCACAAACTTGTAACGACTAGCAATGATCATTATCAATTACAACGTTGCTAAAATGTACGGCTAGGCAGGTGCATGTGTGTGTTGCGTTATTAATGCAATTATGGACTACAAGCAAAGCGAGGCGGATAGCCCTGCATATAGGTGCCTTGTAACTGTAATTGTAGCTGTCTCTATAAGAGAATTTGCAAGGGGCTCTATCCTTCAGCATATGCGCTGAATGTGCTGTGCATTCAGAATATGCAGACCTGTGTGATAAGATAAGTTCACCGTTCAGGCGCCCGGGGGCGTCGATGTAGCAATGAAATAAATATAGTGCACTTGACGAGTCAGTCATCGTAAAACCCGCCTATGTACATGCGTGTGATTCGGTCCGGCAACCGGCATGGCCCGGACTACCTGGTTATCACAAGTGGCGACGAGGTCGACTGACGAACCGGACGGGCACGGCACAATCACACGTCGGCATGCCTGTTGTCGGGAAGCTGGATTTGTTCGACATGAGTACATCGGAGTGGGCGGAATACCGTGAGCAGGCCGAGCTGTACTTTATCGTGAACGACATCCTTAGCGACAAGCTGACAGCTGTATTTTCGACATGCTGCAGTCCAGAGACTTATTCTCGGCTACGAGGCCCCCGAGCACAAAGAAGGCCCGCCCAAGCAGAAACGACCGAAATTTTTACCACACTTGGCAAGCACTACGCCTCTCGCATATCAAAAGTAGTGGCAAGTTTTAAGTTTTTCTCAAGGCATCGAAAAGAGGGGGAGACCGTAAGTGACTACATTGCCTCGTTGAAGAAATAAGCTGAAAACTGCAATTTCGCAACATTTCGAGAACGCATGTTGCGCGACCAGATAGTCAGCAAAATTAATGACATAACCATGCAAACATGGCTGCTGGAAATGACGTGTTTAACCTTCGAAACTGCGAAGGACACCGTCGTAGCTATGGAGGCTGCGCGTAAAGATTCAGGCGCATTAAGCTGTCAGCAAGCACAGCTACTGTCTGACGAAGCTCCGGAGCAAGCAAACATTGTCGCCTCGAAAAAAATTGATAGCTATTGCTTTCGTTGCGGGGGAGCTCATTCTGTGCATTACTGTAGGCATGGCAGCACGATCTGTCACAATTGACATCAGAAAGGGCACCTTGCAAGAGTTTGGAGAGTTCAGCCGGGCAACAGAAATTTCGACCGGAGCCAGTATAGTCGCAGCCGGTCTAGTCGCGTGAACAACCTAAACGACCTGCCTGCCTCTGCTGAAGAGCCCGAAGTTTTCGATTTGTGGACGCTTCACACAGCTAGTTCGGAGCCAATGCGCATAGCAGTTGAAGTGAACAGCGTAACGCTCAATATGGAGTTGGACATCGGCGCTGGTGTGTCGACCATTGACGAAGGCAAGTTCGTCGAGCTTTTTCCGTCGGTGCCGTTGGAGCCATCGAGTGCACAGCTGAAAAGTTTTTTCGGCGACATGAAGCGCGTCCAGGGAAAGCTGGAAGCAATGGTCAAACTTGGTGACAAGGAGCCCCAGCTACCACTATTTGTCGTGAAAGGGGCATGTCCTACGCTGTTTGGACGAAGCTGGATGAAGGCCCTCAAGCTAGGCATCGTTTAGATGGAGGGAGTCAACATCGTGAAGTCTACGGACGACCTGGTAAGTCAATATCATGAAGTTTTTTCGGTGCAGCTTGGCACGTTTCACGGCGTTGCAGATTTGATATCTACAATAGAGCGCGAAGCCAAGTTTTGTCAAGGAATGTCCGATATCATTTGCTTTGCGTGACCGGGTTTTGGAAGAACTACAGAGAATGGAACGGGAAGGCGTTATCAAACCGGTAAAAACTTCTCAGTGGGCCGCGCCCATTGTTCCTGTAATGAAGCGCAATGGCCGGATTTGTGTCTGCTGTGATTTTAAGACTACCAAAAACCTGGTGACATTCGCTGAGTCCTACCCTACTCCCACGATTGGGGAACTTTTTGTGCAACTTACAGGGGCTAAGAAGTTCGAAACGTTTGACTTGCAAGACGCCTACCAGCAGGTCCCACTCAATGAGGAGTGCCAAGAGCTAGTCACCATTAACACTTTGAGAGGGTTATACCGATTCACAAGACTGCCATTCGGGGTTTCATCAGCTCGGGCTATATTTCAGCGAGAGATGGAAAATCTTTTGCATGTCGTAGTGTACATTGACGATATTCTGGTCACCGGAACCAGTGACAAAGAGCATTGGGAAAACTGGGCCAAGTGTTCGATCGCCTGAAAACCGTGGGAATGCGACTGAAGTTACCCAAATGCAAATTCTTGAAACCAGAAGTCCAGTACTTGGGCCACATCACTAGTGCGGCTGGGCTATGTCCCAACCGGACTAAGACAAAAGCAGTACTGGAAGCCCCCGCACTTCGAGTGGTCAAGGAACTTCAGAGTTACCTTGGGTTGGTTAATTTTTACAGAAGGTTTTTGCCTAACCTTTCGGCCGTGCTACAGCCGCTCAATAGTTTGCTGGCCTCGGGAACACCTTGGCGCTGGGAAACAGAGGGTGAACAGGCATTTTGGAGAAGGAAAGAGCTATTGGCCTCTGCTGCTATATTAGCACACTGCTTGGGCTGCTCACAAACCACTGCTTAGGCTGCTCCAGTTACGACCTGAAGTATAGGCCGGGTTCACAAATAGCACATACCGATGGGTTAAGCCGGCTACCTCTGCCAAATGCCGATTTTGTTATTGACTGCCCTGTTGAAGTGTTAATGCTGGAAGGAGTATACCCAGGGGTGCTGTCGTCAAATGCTGTTGCGGCAGCCACTTCCAAAGACCCGGTGCTGTCGCAAGTAAGAGCAGCATTGTGGTCATGCTGCCAGATATACCTAGGGTCATAGGGAAGACCCTACAAGACGCGCTTTCAGGAGATGAGTGGCAAGGGAACTGTCTATTGTGGGGCAACAGTCACTAAATCCTTATAAGGGGAAGTCCTCAAGTTGCTGCATGAGAGTCATCGAGGACTGTCCAAAATGAAAGCAGTTGCGCGTAGCCATGTGTGGTGGCCTAGCTTGAATAACGATATAGCGATAACGGTTCAAATGTGCCGTATTTGCCAGGAGCTTTAAAGAGTGTCACGGCCAGTGCTTGTCATGCCCTGGCCGTTCCCGGAGGAACCGTGGTCACAGCTGCATGTGGACTATGCCAGTCCTTTTTTTTTCATTGCAGTCGATGCGTTCTCAAAGTGGATCGAAGTGTGCCCGATCTCCGCACTCTCAGCTGAAGCAACTATTAACAATACTTACCCAACTCTCCCATGGTATGTATATATGTATGTAAGTATATATATATATACATATATATATATATGTGACGCATCAAGTGATGGTTAGTAGAGGTAGAGAAGGAAGAAGTCGCAGAATAGAATAAACATGGCGTATGAGCCAGGCCACGTCTCCCGCATATAGCGTCACACAAGTCGACAGGATGAAGACCTCGCAACCACTTCATCTCCCGGCCATCATCATCGAAGACCTCAGCGAGACGCAGTGACCGAACGCGGACCACCAAGACCACCAAGCATCATGACAGCAGCATCAGACGACCTTCCCATCCCCAAGTACACCGGAGCAGCGGACGATGGACCTGTACAGGACTGGTTCGACCTGTTCGAGTTCCACGCTACCGCTGCATCTTGGTCGGAACGGGAGATGGTTACGAACTTCAGCGACTACATCACCGGTGAGGCATTTAAATTTTACCTCACCCACATATTCGACAACGACGAGTCTTGGCAAAAAATAAAAGAAGAAATGATCGTCTGGTTTCAAGACTCCAATGAAGATTCGATTAGAACACACGCTCTCAGTGCATTCGATCTCAGTCATCGCAGTCATAAGCAGCCTTCACGCGTTCGAGCACAGAGCAGAAGTTTACGATTCCCGTCAGGCGAAGTCAGTCATCTGCTCATAAAAAGACATCCTAGCCGTCTTTCTACAAGGCCGAACCTTCCACCTGGTTTCCCATCTACACAAATATCACCAACGCTAAACTCTTCCTTACAATACACAAATCAAGACAACATTCAAGCACCCAATGTACTTGACTCTTCATCTTCCTTACGTAAGCCACCACCTGGTTTTGTGCCAAGTAGCTCGTCTGGTGCTTGTCACTCTCATCGCACCCCTCAAGATATCGCCACATACGCAACTCACCACCTGAAATATCGGCCAAATACCTTGCCAAGC